AACAAAGTGTTAATCTGGCCCTGGTTCCGCCGTCACATTCCCGCAGAAACTGGTTGATCACACCGGGGCCAGACTACTAGCATGTGGCTTTACAACCACAATGTCCTTGGAAGCAAAAACGCTTTTAAAAGGGAGGGAGGAGTCCTAACTGTTGCTGCAGGCGTGTTGTGTGAGAGTGCAGTTATATACTGGTTAATATATTTTTGGGTTCAGTTGCTTTCGTCGTCGTCGTCGTCTTCCTCCGCTTATCCGGGTCCGGGTCGCGGGGGAAGCATCCCAACTAGGGAGCTCCAGGCCGTCCTCTCCCCGGCCTTGTCCACCAGCTCCTCCGGCAGGACCCCAAGGCGTTCCCGGACCAGATTGGAGATGTAACCTCTCCAACGTGTCCTGGGTCGACCCGGGGGCCTTCTGCCGGCAGGACATGCCCGAAACACCTCCCCGGGGAGGCGTCCAGGAGGCATCCTGACCAGATGCCCAAACCACCTCAACTGGCTCCTTTCGATCCGGAGGAGCAGCGGTTCTACTCCGAGTCCCTCCCGAATGTCCGAGCTCCTCACCCTATCTCTAAGGCTGAGCCCGGCCACCCTACGGAGGAAACTCATTTCGGCCGCTTGTATCCGCGATCTCGTTCTTTCGGTCATTACCCAAAGCTCATGACCATAGGTGAGGATTGGGACGTAGATCGACCGGTAAATCGAGAGCCTGGCTTTCTGGCTCAGCTCCCTCTTCCCCACGACAGATCGGCTCAGCGTCCGCATCACTGCAGACGCCGAACCAATCCGCCTGTCGATCTCCCGATCCCTCCTACCCTCACTCGTGAACAAGACCCCGAGATACTTAAACTCCTCCACTTGAGGTAGGACCTCTCCCCCGACCCGGAGGTGGCAAGCCACCCTTTTCCGGTCGAGAACCATGGTCTCAGATTTGGAGGTGCTGATCCTCATCCCAGCCGCTTCACATTCGGCCGCGAACCTACCCAGCAAGAGCTGAAGGTCAGAGCTGGATGAAGCTAGGAGGACCACATCATCCGCAAAAAGCAGAGACGAGATTCTCCTGCCACCAAACTCGACACACTCCACACCACGGCTGCGTCTAGAAATTCTGTCCATAAAAGTGATGAACAGAACCGGTGACAAAGGGCAGCCCTGGCGGAGTCCAACCCTCACTGGGAACAGGTCCGACTTACTACCGGCTATGCGGACCAAACTCACGCTCCTCTGGTAAAGGGGCTGAATGGCCCTTAACAGAAAGCCTCCCACCCCATACTCCTGGAGCGTCCCCCACAGGGTGCCCCTGGGGACACGGTCATAAGCCTTCTCCAAATCCACAAAGCACATGTGGATTGATTGGGCAAACTCCCATGCCCCCTCCATCACCCTTGCAAGGGTATAGAGCTGGTCCACAGTTCCACGGCCAGGACGAAAACCACATTGCTCCTCCTCTATCTGAGATTCAACTATCGATCGGACCCTCCTCTCCAGTACCTTGGAGTAGACCTTTCCAGGGAGGCTGAGGAGTGTGATCCCCCTATAGTTGGAACACACCCTCAGGTCACCCTTCTTAAAGATGGGGACCACCACCCCGGTCTGCCACTCCCTAGGAACTGCCCCCGATGACCACGCAATGTTGTAGAGACGTGTCAACCATGACAGGCCTACAACATCCATATCCTTGAGATACCCAGGACGAACCTCATCCGCCCCCGGGGCTCCGCCGCTGTGTAGTTGTTTGACTACCTCAGCAACTTCTGTCCCTGAGATCGGACAGTCCATCCCCAGGCCTCCCAGCTCTGGTTCCTCCTCGGAATGTGCATTGGTGGGATTGAGGAGCTCCTCAAAGTATTCCTTCTTCCACCGTCCGACTATAGCCTCAGTTGACGTCAGCAGCTCCCCATCCCCACTGTAAACAGTGTGAGCGAGTTGCTGCCTTCCTCTCCTGAGGCGCCGGACAGTTTGCCAGAACCTCTTTGGAGCCGATCGATAGTCTTTCTCCATGGCCTCACCAAACTCCTCCCACGCCCGAGATTTTGCCTCGGCAACTGCCACTGCTGCACCCCGCTTGGCTATCCGGTACCTGTCTGCTGCCTCCGGAGACCCACTGACCAGCCACGCCCTGTAGGCCTCCTTCTTCAGCCTGACGGCTCCCCGAACCTCTGGTGTCCACCAGCGGGTACGGGGGTTGCCACCACGACTGGCACCGGCCACCTTACGACCACAGCTAGCAACAGCCGCCTCGACAATCGCAGAGTGGAACAAGGCCCACTCGGACTCAATGTCCCCCACTGCTCTCGGGACGTGGTCAAAGTTCTGCCGGAGGTGGGAGTTGAAGACCGTCTTGGCAGGTTCTTCTGCCAGGCGTTCCCAGCAGACCCTCACTATGCGTTTGGGTCTGCCAGGTCTACGCGGCATGTTCCCTTGCCATCTGATCCAACTCACCACCAGGTGGTGATCAGTTGACAGCTCCGCCCCTCTCTTCACTCGGGTGTCCAAAACATACGGCCGCAGGTCAGATGATACGACTACAAAATCTATCATCGACCTGTGACCTAGGCTGCCCTGGTACCAAGTGTACCGGTGGGCATCCTTATGTTCGAACATGGTGTTCGTTATGGCCAAACTGCGGCTTGCACAGAAGTCCAATAACAAAACACCGCTCGAGTTCAGATTAGGTGGGCCGTTCCTCCCAATCACACCCCTCCAGGTCAAGCTGTCATTGCCCACGTGAGCATTGAAGTCCCCCAGCAGGACAATGGAGTCCCCTGATGGAGCACTATCTAGCACTCTTCCCAGGGACTCCAAAAAGGGTGGGTACTCTGAACTGATATTTGGCCCATAAGCACAAACAACAGTCAGGACCCGTTCCCCGACCCGAAGGCGCAAGGAAGCTACCCTTTTGTCCCCCGGGGTAAACCCCAACACACAGGCAGAGAGTCTCGGGGCTAACAAAAAGCCAACCCCAGCCCTCCGCCTCTCACCCGGAGCAACTCCAGCAAAGTAGAGTGTCCAACCCCTCTCCAGGTCTCGGGTTCCAGAGCCAATGCAATGTGTCGAGGTGAGTCCGACTATATCTAGCCGGTACCGCTCAACCTCTGCCACAAGCTCCGGCTCCTTCCCCGCCAGCGAGGTGACGTTCCATGTCCCAAAAACTAGTTTTCTTGTCCGGGGATTGGACCGCCAAGGCTCCCGCCTTGGTCTGCCACCCGATTCGCATTGCACCGGACCCTTCATGTTCCTCCTGCGGGTGGTGGGTCCACAGTTGGACGAGCCCCTGTATCCGGTTCGGGCTGGGCCCGGCCGGGCCCCATGGGCGAAAGCCCGGCCACCAGGCGCTCGCTCACGGGCCCCAACCCAAGGCCTGGCTCCAGGGTGGACCCCGGTAACCCTCCGGGCCGGGTACTCCGACTCTTCGTTTTAACCGCCATGAAAGATCCTTCGAACCGTTCTTTGTCTCACCCTTCACCTAAGACCAATTTGTCATGGGAGACCCTACCAGGGGCACTAAGTGCCCCAGACAACATAGCTCCTAGGATCATTAGGGCACTCAAACTCCTCCACCACGATAAGGTGACGGTTCAAGGAGGAGGGTGACTGTTCAGTTGCTTTCATGTGGCCTAATGTGAGTCTATTTGGGATCATTGGAATGATCAGCAGCATTTCTTGATGTGACTTTATGGCAGTTGCCCAGGGCACCATCACACGGAGGATGGCATTCATTTACTTTTGTTTTATTTGGTATTTTTTCAGTCATTTTTGGAAATAGTGATCAATTTTGATTAATTCAATCAATCAATCAATCAAAGCTTTATTTATAAAGCGCCTTCCGCAACCCTGTCAGGAAGCCCAAAGCGCTGAACATGGTACAGTTGTAAGTAATTATACTGAATAAATCAACAATAAAAGAAATTCAAATTACAAAATACAAAATGGAAATAACAAGATAGATGAAACATTCCGGTAAAATACAAATGTGTGAAACACAATTGGATTGAGTGGATGGATTGAGCGTACCAATGAAAACTGTGGAATGGATTCAACATAATAGAGGGCCATAATCAAACATGTTCTGGAAATGCCAAGCGGAGTAGGTGTGTTTTTAGGTGATTCTTAAAGACTGGCAGAGAAGGGGACAGCCTAACTGAGGGTGGCAACTGGTTCCAGAGTAACGGTGCTAGGACTGAGAAAGCCTAATTCACAGCCTATGTTTAATTACATTTAAAAATTAGTTGTTTGACATCCCCAGTTATAATAAATGTCAACAGATGAGATCAAACAAAACAGATGACAATTGCCCTTAAGCTGTTTAACTTGGACCAAGAATTTTAGGTCACAGATAGATGTAGCTTATAGGGTCTCTGTCTATACACCTTATAAGACAATTTAGGTGATGGCATGTTGTTTTTCTGCTATTGAACTGTTTTCCAATAATGTTGTGTTAAATAAAGTGAAGGAAGGAGAGAAATAACGTTTCCTTAGCAGTTTTAAAAAATGTCCCCATGTAATCCGATTAATCGATTAATCGTGTCGAGACCCCATCCGATTAATCGATTATCCAAATAATCGTTTGTTGCAGCCCTAGTCCAGAGTAAATACTGTAAAATGGATCTAGCCTAGCACAACACTACATCCTCCATGCTGCAGCACCTGACCAGGAAACATCCACCTGTAAATGTCTCTTCTGCAAGCGGACTCGGAGGTCCGCTATATATTCTGCGGACGCTGTGCGACTTTTTCGTCTGTAGCGCTCAGCTTCAGCTCACACACGTCGTCTGCTAGCAACACGTCGGACCTAAAAATGTGCTAAAAATAGCAGTTTTGCTAACAGAACGCGTTTTCCTTCTCATCTGTTTCTGGAGATTATGGCAACAGACTAAATTTCACTTATGGATGGAATATGCCTTTAAACTCAGGGGGAGAAGTGCTCTCAATCTCCACCAATCAGCTGATCAGAACACCCGATTAGGTCGTCTGCAGCTCTCTGACTCCCTTTCTCTGCTCCCACAGCAACTCCAACGATGTTTGTCAGCACAGTTCCCTCTGACTCCACTGTGCTGCTGGTGGGCGCTAATGAAGTGGTCACCCAGACCCCGATATCTTCACTTGATGATCTGAAATCTGCAGCGTCTCCTGAATCCGGGCCTCAGGATGTCCCCAGCCCAGATTCCTGCTCTGCCGCCGCAGGTCTCGACCGCTCACAAGAAAAGGTTTGATTCAATTCAAGTTTATTTATAAAGCGCCAAATCACGACGAGTCGTCTCAAGGCACTTCACATAATAAACATTCCAATTCAGGCCAGTTCATTAAGCCAATCAGAAATAATGTTTCCTATATAAGGAACCCAGCAAACCTCATCAAGTCACTGACTAGTGTCAGTGACTATACAGCAATCCTCATACTAAGCAAGCATGCAGCGACAGTGGAGAGGAAAACTCCCTTTTAACAGGAAGAAACCTCCAGAGAATCCTGACAGTATAAGCAGCCATCCTCCATGACCCACTGGGGATGGAGAAGACAGAGCAGACACACACACACACACACACACACACACACACACACACACACACACACACACACACACACACACACACACACACACACACACACACACACACACACACACACACACACACACACACACACACACACACACACACAAAGACAAGTAATGTGTCTATGGTTACATTGTGATGTCTTAGTAAATATTGTATTTGGTGAGAGATAAACTTTATTGTATTTATCCTAGTGGATCTATAATTAAACGGGTAAACTAGTAGTAGCACATCCAACGTCAATGAAAACAAAAAGTTATTATCAGGAGAGGGAGAATGTTTAAGTGGTTAGCAGCAGTGTGCTAGTCGATGGCCCCCTCCATGAGGCCACCACAGCTCAGCAGAACATCATTGTAGCTTCTTCTGGGGAGAAAAACACTTAGAGAGAAAATAAAGTTAACAGCTGAAATAGCAGGAAATAATACAGTTAAAGAGCAGATAGTAGAAGAAAGCAGTAGAGTGTGAAAAGTGGTCAGTGTATCCTCCAGCAGTCTAAGCCTATAGCAGCATAACTACAGAGATAACTCTGGATAATCCATCCTATTTAGATGGAGGCATGTTGGAGTCAGGGCAAGGGAGAGCCGTCTTTACCGACTGTACACTCCACCTCCCTCTACTCCCCCACTTGTCCAGATCTAGGCTAACATCAGATTTTAACCATAGGCCCTATCAAATAAAAATGTTTTAAGCCTATTCTTAAAAGTAGACAAAGTGTCTGCCTCACGGACTAAAGCTGGGAGCTGGTTCCACAGGAGAGGAGCCTGATAACTAAAAGATCTGCCTCCCATCCTAATTTTAGATATTCTGGGAACCACCAGTAGACCTGCAGTCTGAGAGCGAAGTGAGAAAAAAGCAGCTGAGTGATAAAAACCTCAGTAGGTGGTTTTGTTGTGATGATGTCGCCTCATGGAGAACATGATGCTGTATGGAAAAAGATTCAGATGAAGCTAAGAAGAGAGTCTATGCGGCTCTTTCCTGTGATCCACTTATTTCCTTTTTTCTTTGTTTGTTTGGGAAAATGTGCATTAATGAACAATCAAGTACTTGTTTACAGACTAAATGAGCCAGATTACAGCATAGCTGCTAATTTCCATCTGTTGTCTCTAGGCAGGAAAACTAACACGGGACATACACGACATTCCCTCTCTCTAGAGACGTCCGGTTATGTTTCCGTGGCAACAGCGAGCTCAAACGTGTCACGAGGTTCATTATCTGGTTTCTATTGTTAACTAGTCAGTCATTTAAAACGAGTATTCTAGGTTAGTGTGTTAATTTTACTGTGAAACTACCGGGACTCGAGAGAAAGTTGTTGTGACGTGAAGAAGACGTATGAAAGAAGTAAGAGAACGCTACGACAAAGACGTGAAATCTTCCTTGCGCGTCTCCAAATGGTCAAACAGGCGCACATGGTTAGTAATATTGTTTCTTAATGTTGTAATTGTGTTATTATTGAGATTATTAAGAGTTTCAAGTAAGATATTTGATTTGCTTTTAGTTTTCACGGTGTACCACGACCTTCTGAGTGTCTGTGGACGTCCGTACGGAGCGTGAAGTCCAGTTTGTTGAGCAGACCAGAGTGGCTACACTCTCCTACTCATTTGACTTATTTTTATCACAATTTTTTACTATTTTCTCATTTTAAACATGCTCTTAATCATTTTTTTAATCTTTTTTATTCTTTAATTTTTTGTGAAGCACCTCAGGATTTTGATCTTGTGCGAAAGATCCTTTTCTACCTTTCTTTCTTTCCTGCATGCAGTTAAATGGGGCGTGTTTTTGTCCCGCTGTGGTGTTGAACTGGATCTGCAGCTTTTCTGATTAAACTGAAGCCCTTCTTCTTACAGATGTCACTGGAGCCTTTTGAGGAGGGACAGTCGCTGAAAAGCGGTCGTACAGGCGGGGCGGCAGATGGAGCAGAAGCAGGTTGGACTGTTGCTGTTGCACCTCAGCTTAGGAAGGAGCTAAAAGGGAGTCTTGTTTAAATCAGACACAACTAACTTAAATGTTTCTCAACTTTCTAGATGTTCCTGACAACACCTCTGACGAGAAAACAGTCAAGTCAGAGGACGTTCCGGGACGAGGTCTCAGGAGAACTCAGTCTCAAGCAGGAAAACGGTTCTTCTGTGAGCTCTGTGACACTGGCTTTCACTGGAAAGGCGACCTGAAGAAACACATGAAGGTCCACAAAAAGACTTTTCCTTGTGAGCAATGTGACAGAAGCTTCCTGGACAAGAAGACTCTGGAAAACCACCTTTTGAGTCACGAGTCCTCAAAAGAGCCGCTGCCGTTTCCCTGTCCTCAGTGTAAGCGATCCTACAAGAGGGAGCAATCCCTCCAGAACCACCTCAGGTGTCACCAGAAGTCCAAACCACCAAAGCCGTTTGCGTGCGATCAGTGTGGGAAGACATTTAGAATCCAGCAGTCTCTGGAAAACCACCTCTTACGCCACGAGAAGTGGAAGCAGTCCTTCAAGTGTCAGCTTTGTGAAAAGACGTGTAAGACGCCGGTGCAGCTGAAGTGTCATATGGCCGTACACTCGGAGGAAAGGCCGTTCAGCTGCGCCACCTGTGGGAAGGAGTTCAAGAGCAAAGACACCCTACGCTTCCACCAGATGGTTCACACAAGCACCAAAAAGTATAAGTGCACAATGTGTGAGGAGTCCTTCAAGTATGCCCACTCGCTGACCGTGCACAAGAGGAAGCACACGGGCGACAGTCCGTTCATCTGCGACGTGTGCAACAGGTCGTACCGAACCGGTACCGCTCTGAAGAGGCACAAGGTGATCCACACAGGGGAGAAGCCTTTCACGTGTCACATATGTGGAGCGAGCTTCAACCTCAACAACAACCTCAAAAGGCATCTTCGCATTCACACCGGCGAGAAGCCGTTCACCTGCCAGGAGTGTGGCAAGAGCTTCTCAGAAAACAACAAGCTCAAGTCCCACATGCTCATCCACGGGGCCAGGAAGCCCTTCATGTGTGACCTCTGTGGGAAGACATTCCTCTTCAACTGCAGGCTGCAGATCCATCAGAAGTACGTACATGCCGACAAATCCCAGGAATCAGACGGCATTTTCCAGACCAGACGGCAAAACAAGTCACTAGTTAAACCGTTCAGTTGTAAAATCTGTCTGAAGGGTTTCAGCGCCGCGTCTTCCCTGAAGCTTCACGAAAAAGGCCACAGCGAACACAAGGAGTTCCAGTGCAGCTTGTGTGGGAAGGCTTTCCACAACAAGTACTCCTTCAGCTATCACCAGCGAAGCCACTTGGGCGAGAAGCCGTTCGTGTGCGACGTGTGCGGAAAGAGGTTTTTCCACGCTGCAAGTCTAAAGCAGCACGAGCGCATTCACACCGGGGAGAAGCCGTACAAATGCGACCAGTGTGGGAAAGCCTTCCGAACCGACGGAAACTTCTACAGACACATGAGGATCCACACGGGCGAGAAGCCTTTTGAGTGTGTTTTCTGTCAGAAGAAGTTTCACCAGTCCAACCAGCTCAAGTCTCACCTGCAGATTCACACCGGCCAGAAACTCTACACCTGCAAGCGTTGTGGGAGTGGCTTCTCCGACTCAAGGCAGTTCAAGAAGCACAGCTGCGACGCGTCGTAGAGACTAGAACCATCATCTGAATCAGCAAAGAAATCATTGTGTTTTAGTGTAAATTGCTTGCTTAAAATCTGGCAAGATGGTAATCTGTCAGGTCAGAGAATACCAGTTTTTTCTTTTTCATGGTTGAGAAATGAATGTTAATTTCACGTCAATTCATTACTGAGTGCGTTCAATAATGACTGAATTGTTGAGCTCAAATCCTGATCAACGAAGTGTTGTTTTTGTTCCTTTTGTTTGAGTTTAGTTTGTCCTTATGAAGCCTGAACAGAAATGTTCAGCTGTAATGAATTTGGTGGTTTTGAAGATGCTTTAGGCCAGTTGCTATTAAACTTACTCTATGCTTTGAGTTCTTTCCTTTTCGACTTTGGTTTATCCTGCTGAATCCTGTCAAAACAGCATTTGTATATCTATAAAGTGTTTTAATGTGGCTAATAAGGAGACTAAATGTTTTACTGTTTGTGGTTCGTCGTCGTGCACGGTACGAGGAGCTTGTTTTTACCTTAGCCGAAAATGCTTCGACGTCTACTGATGCCTTTGTCAGCCATCACCGATGTTAGAGGCAAAACTTCCGTTTATCTGCGGGCGTCGGAGCACGATGTTGGCCCACGCCCCCTCCGTTAATCACTGTGTGCCATGAGTGGTCCAGCATGTGTACTCCATCTTTGTTCATGGACCTGGATCCACATCTCCTTCACATGTCCATCGCTTCCTTGATCCATCTTTTGAATTTCTGTTGCTTTGTGTTTATGATCCTTGTTCTGTCCCAGTCCACTCTATGATTCTCTTGTTATGGCTGATTTCTTTATTATCCATCCATCCATTTTCATCCGCTTATCCAGAGTCGGGTCGCGGGGGCAGCAGCCTAAGTCAAGAGGCCCAGACTTCCCTCTCCCCAGCCACTTGGACCAGCTCCTCCGGGGGAATCCCAAGGTGTTCCCTGGCCAGGTGAGAGACTTAAGGGCCATTCCCATCTGTACCGGGCCGGCCCGGGCCGGGTAGCTTAGGTTGTTTACATATCTGGGTGGCCTGGTATTTTTCCGGGCCAACCAAGGCTCATTCTCAGCCCTCTTCTCGAGGGGGTCTGCTTCAGGCCGACCAGGGCCAACACACCCACTGCTGACAGCAAATTCACACCTTCCATTAGAGCAAGCCTCTGATTGGTGGGTAGAATCAGCCCACATGGGCTTAAGACAAGGATGTGTGGAATCAACCGGGCCAGGCTGGGGCCGACTGGGGCTACCCGGCCCGGGCCGACCCGGTACAGATGGGAATGGCCCAATAGTCCCTCCACCGTGTCCTGGGTCTACCTTTAGGTCTCCTCCCGGTTGGACGTGCCCGGAAAACCTCACCAGGGAGGCGTCCAGGAGGCATCCTGACCAGATGCCCGAGCCGCCTCAGCTGGTTCCTTTTATTATTTCTTTATAATATTTATATCGATGGGCAATAGCTCTGAGAAGGCAGCAGTAGACATAGAAACATGTTAGCTAAGGTAAAAACAAGCTCCTCCTACTCTGTATAACGCTGAAGTACAAAAATTAATTCTAACTGAAAACACGTAACGAACACATCAAAGATGTTTGTCTTTTATTTTGTCATTAAAGTGCAAGTAACACCTACATTTACTTTTTTTTTGCTGATAATCTGCCATAATGGTGCTGCACACGTGTGTAATCATTAGTGAGGCAGTTTAGTGCAACTTTATTTAAATTTAATATTTCAGTATGCCCCCTATGGCCCCTACAAAACACGCCTGCTTGTTTAAAGACAAGACGAACCCACATGTGTGTTGCATCACCAGATGGAAATGGTGGTTCAGGTAAAGACAGATTTATATTTTTACAACTTGTGAAGATTTTTGATGTTAAATTTGAACGTTTAGGACATAGTTTGATAGATAGCGCAGTAGTGATTGTTAAATTGTAAAATTAAGCATTATTGGCAGTGGGGGAAGACGTCATGGACGCAAAATATTTTTATATAATTTTAAATGGGCAACATGAAAGCTTTTGGGCCAAAATAAGTTCTACCACCTGGCTGCTCCTACTTTAACACTCCAAGAGCGCAGCGCCGTGGCGGCGGTCTGCTGACTTTATTTAAATCTGATCTTATCTGCAACCACACTGTCCCTTCATCAACTCCATTAACTTTTGAGCTAAGTGCGTTTGAACTGGGTCGTTCCCCTCCCTTGTTGTGTGCACTTATTTACCGTCCTCCAAAATATAACAAGGACTTTTTAGATGAATTTGCAGCGTTTCTGGCTGAAGTCTCCTGTAAATATGACCGCCTCCTCCTGATGGGGGATTTAAATATTCACGTCTGCTGTCCTGACAAACCTATGGTGAAGGACTTTTTAGATCTTGTTGACTCTTTTAGCCTGTCCTAACTAGTGAGTGGGCCCACGCGTGGGCGTGCTCACACACTGGACCTGGTTCTGTCTCATGGGCTGAGAATTATTGACTTGGACATTCTCCCTGCTACTTTCCCTGATCACTCACCGGTTTTGTTAAATTTGGATTTGGCTTCTGTTTCTCGTATTAGCTGTGTCTACACTCGTTCCTCTCGTGTTATCGCTCCCTCTACTGCTGCCGTTTTTGCATTGAAATTAGCCCCCTGTGAATTTACTGGTGTTGTTGGTTCTCTACATCTTCTTAATTCGTCCTGTGGCTGCTATGGATACTGTAGGTTCATAAAAATCCAGATGGACTAAATCCAAGCCTGAGCCATGGCTGAACGAGCGTACTCGTTCTGTCAGGTAAAATTGCAGAAGACTGGAGCGTAAATGGAGTAAAGACATGCTTACTGTTTCCTTTGAAGCCATGAGAGATGCGTGGTCGCAGTATCAAAGAGCTGTCAGAGGCGCAAGAAATCGTTTTTTTTTTTTTTGCTGGGATTGTTTCTGCTAATTCTAACCATCAAGGTGAAACCATGAATACCATGCTTTCTCCTGCTAGAACGCTATTTTCCTCTGTGTCTACTGGCCTGTGTAACCAAATCCTTCAGTTTTTCTTAGATAAGGTTGGCAAAATCAGAGCTCATATTCCTCCTCCTTCCCATGTTCCTGTTCCTGACATTCCCACTCATGGGCTATTCAACGGTTTTCAACCCATCTCTCTGTCCTGTCTGGAAAATACTACCGCTACTATGAAACCCTCGGGCTCTCCAGATGATGTGGTTCCAACTCGTCTCCTGAAAGATGTGCATTCGTTGATTGGCCAAAATGTGCTGGACATTATTAATGGTAGCTTGACCTTGGCTGAAGTTCCTCGTGCCTTTAAACATGCTGTTGTGCAGCCAATCTTGAAAAAAACTGGTCTTGATTCCACTAATTTCTTTAATCTCTGACCAATTTCCAAGTTACCATTTTTATCTAAGTGTGGCAAGGTGGAGAAACGAGGGCCCGGGCGGGATTCGATCCCCAGACTCCCGGGTGAGAGTCACATGCGCTTACCAGTCAGCCAAAGGGACATCCCCTTGGCCAAGTAGCCAGGGCGCATGATCAATCGGGACACTATATTCTGCCCTTTGGAGCCATTTTCAGACAGCATGCTGTTTCATACCATCTATACGCAGACGACTGTCAAATCTATTTTTCACTTAAACCCACTGACTCCACTAAACCTCTGTTTGATTGTCTTCACGATGTCAAGCAATGGCTGACTGATAACGTCCTCCATCTGTATGATACCTTTCTCAGTGGCCTAGTGGAAGAGTGTCCGCCCTGAGACTGGGAGATCAGGGGTTCGATTCCTGGTCGGATCATACCAAAGACTGAAAAAATGGGACCCAATGCCTCCCTGCTTGACACTCAGCATTACGGGGGTTAGATTGGGGGGTTAAACCACCAAATAGTTCCCGAGCGCGGGTGTGTCTGCAGCTCACCGCTCCCCCAGGGGATGGGTCAAATGCGAAGAACAAATTTCGCTCACACCAGTGTGTGTGACAACTAATGGGACTTGACTTTAACTATGACTAAAACAGATGTAATCGTTTTTGGTCTTGACAATGTTAGAGCAACCCAGCGACCTAACCTCCACTATCTGTCTCCTAATGTTACTTCTGCTATTTCCAACCTTGGAATAAAAATAGACCTGGATCTGAAGATGGATGCTCAGGTCAATAGCACAGTCAGGTCCTGCTTTTACTACCTCAGGTGAATTTCTGAATTAAAGCCCATCCTGATTGTCCATCTTCTGCAATCTGTGAGTCATGCTTTCATCACTTCTTGGCTTGAATATTGCAACTCCTGCTTGTACGGCATCAGTAAAGCTGCTCTGTCTAGACTCCAGCTTGTCCAGAATTCAGCAGCAAGGTTCCTGACTGGAGCTGACAGAAGACAGCACATTACACCCACTCGTAAATCACTCCACTGGTTGCCCGTTCGGTTCAGAATCAATTTCAAAATTCTGCTTCTCGCATTTAAATCTTTGAACAGTCAGGTACCTCCTTATCTGTGTGAACTCCTCCATTACTACCACCCTCCTTGTGCTCCTTGGTCTGAAGATCAGCTCCTCCTAACTGTCCCTAAGGCACGTTTGAAGAGCCGCGGGGAAAGGACTTTTTCTGTCTGTGCCCCAAAATTGTGGAACTCATTACCTCTTCAGGTTAGGCAAGTAAGTAAGTAACTTTATTTGTATAGCACCTCTCACAGACAAAAAAGGTCACAAAGTGCTTCACAAGTTAAAAAGGCAACAACATATAAATACAGTAAAATACAGCCACAATATACATAGTGTCAAATACAACCAATCCGAATGAGACTAAGTTTAAAATGCCTGGAGAAACAAATGGGTTTTAAGATTGCTCTTAAAAACATCAACTGAGTCGATTGAGCGTAATGACAGAGGTAGCTCATTCCAGAGCCTAGGAGCGACGGCCTGGAATGAGCGATCTCCTTGTGTCCTGAACTGAGTACGTGGGACCATTAAAAGGTTTTGATCCAGTGATCTCAGCCTGCGAGAAGGCGTGTAAGGGCAGAGCATGTCTTGAACATACAATGGAGCCAGACCATGCAGCGCTCTGAAAGTCAGCACAAGAATTTTAAAATTGATGCGAGATGAGATTGGAAGCCAATGAAGAGCTTTTAAAATGGGGGTAATGTGGGCCCTTCTGTTGTCACGGGTCAGAATTCTAGCTGCACAATTCTGGACTTGTTGTAAGCGGGACAACTCTTTTTTGTTTAGACAAGAAAATAAACTATTACAGTAGTCTAAACGGGATGATGTAAACGCATGAATAATCAACTCAAGATCAACTTTAGACACCATTGTTCTGAGTTTAGAAATTTGTCTCAAGTGGTAAAAACAGTTTCTAGTTAACTGCTTTGAGTGATGTTCAAGAGACATTCCC